TGGTGATGTGGGTTGGCAACGAGCACCGTGCAGCTTGGCAGGTTCAACGAATGGAGAAGCGCTGTCTGCGAAGTGTTCAACAGATCCGCGTGCCCCGAGTTGTGCCCTAGCACAGCTTCTGCCACTCCGAAGTGGACACAGCTGGGCCAAAATGGGCTGGCATCACAGGCCACTTTGGGTGCGCTGGAGACGCTCGCAGACCTCGCGAAAAGGCTTAGGAGGGAAGCGCTGTGCATATCATCTCCTTCATCTATGTTATAATGCCATCGAAGTTTAGAGAACCAAGCCCTCAGCCGATGCATGCCAGTTGTGTTCGTGTTCGTACAGAGAGTGAGCTGCCAACAAGTCTCCCGTTCGTGTTCAGGTCCCTTCCCATGCACCCGGGTCGCTGGTCCATACTTGTCGTCCTCCGTCCTTTTTGAGCGAGCCAGCAAGACTGGGACACACGGGACGCACGGAGCGGCCCAGGCGTCGTATCACCTGGGGATTCTGCCCATCACCGCGGCGTTCCAACCTTGGCCACAGAACTGGACCTCGTCGCTGCCACCCAGATCCACCATGACCACCACAGGCTGGAGCGGTTTGTAGAGGTGGTGTTTGCTGTTTCGGCCGCTGTTCATGATCAATTTCATTGTTTGGATCGATCAGTTGTGGGGGGTTTCACCAACTGATTCAACAATTAATTGGGTTCCATGTGGTTCCAATGTTTCCAAAAGAAAGCCGAGCAAGGAAAAAGCCATGGCTGGCCATGGCCATAGGTGACATAGACCTCACCTAGCGGCCATCCATCACCCGTCCTCCCCACAGCAGTCCTCCGAGGCCCCTTTACCGCGCCTTGGGCAGCGAACAGCGAGGATCCAAACGGGTGGAACGGGCGGGGTTCGGATAGTAATGCCCTTGTTCCTAGTAGCGATGCCCTTTGCTCCTACAGTAGCTTCTTGTTCCTTAGGATCCGGTTTCTTGCACAAATCCATGTGGGTAGTACTGTAACTGCTGTAACATTTGCAAGACCTGCCCAGGTGAGCACCACCCTTGGCGGAGGAGACAGCGGCTGCTTGGGCCAAAAAGAAAGGGGGAGATCTCTCCTTCCAATCAGCTCCAAGGCAATTAGATGCTGAACATAACAGTGTTTTAACATAATCTCAGTTTCCCTAAAAATCTAGGAACCAAATCATTGGTGAGAGCGCTTCTTCCAGGCAGAGCTTCCTTGAAGAAGCGTGAGCTGTCCTGCGTCCTAGCTAGGAGTTTCCTGTTGCTAGTAGCTTACTCCCTTCCTTCATTCAGTAGGCGCCTACTTAATTCAGTATTAGGAGGGCAGCGCGGGGCAAAAACAGAACCTCTCCATCTTCGGCCCTCCGCTGTTGGCCCTCCACCTCGCCCGCCGCCGCCGCACCCGCCGTCGCAGGCTATGGCAGCGGCTATGGCGGCGGCACCGCGCCCACGACCATCCAGGGCAGCTTCCAACTCAGTGCCTCGTGCCGGGTCGGAGCGGGGGGCACCGCTGGGGTTCGGTGACGGTGTTTTTCGTCTTGGGCGCTCATGGTCAAGGGGTCCATGTTGTCCTTCCCATATGATCCAGGATCCATGTTGTCTTGCTACTTGATGGGGTGCTGATGCTTGTTCATTGGAACGATCGATTTTCGAGTGCTTTGGGAATGAGAAGTCTTTTGCTCTTTTGTTTTGCTTGTGGGTACGGCGCACTGCTGCCGGACCATTGCACGGAGGTTACGATTTGTCGAACTTCACCGCGGCAGAGTTGCAACAACTGAAGGCCAAATGAATGCAGCGGGGAGGTTGGGTTGGGGTGTGGCAGAAGATGAAACTAGTAGCCTTGGGGTTCTGACGATGAGGATTTTTGAGGGTGATCTGGAGGAAGTGCTTATCAAAAAGATGGGAGTCACACATGCATCGATGAAATCATCCAAACAGAATTGACCGCATGATTCCTCTGGGCGTTTGGATTTTGACATCCTCCTTAAATCCAGTAGCCACGGCCGACCATCCTTTTCACAAAGAACCAGTGCGTCAAACCTGAGAGAACAGGAAGAAAGAACAAGGGCACCGCCAAGAAGATGTCAACACATGTTTCTGATGAAAGCTGGGCGTTTTTTGATGTTGACCCACTTGACCCACTTGAATTGAGCTCAGTCCACTGCTCCACCACTCTGGGCCTCCTTCTCCTTCCTCCATCTAGAGCTCACTTCTCCATTTTGGAGCTCACTTTAGAGGTGACCGGACAGAATGCCATGTTGGACAGCTTGGCGACGCTCCTGGCCATCCCACGCCAGGACTGTTCGGTCGATGTTCGGTCCGAAGACTTTCGGAGCGAAGACCTTCGACCCTGAGGAAAGTCAACAAGAAGCAACAGCGATTTTTTTTCAGTAGCAACCACCTATTTTTTTAAAACTAATTAGGTTGGAGGCCATCCCTATTCAAGGCATTTGGCCTGCACTGTGCTGTCTTCTTGTGGCAGCAAGAAGCACTACAAATGCCAACTTACTCCATACTGTAAATGGTCAAGGCTAGGGTGAGCAAACTTTTCTGGAGCCGCTCGGAGCAACACAAATCGTTCTCCAAACTGCGCTAAGTGAGACCGACGTTGGACGTTGGACTCGAAGGGCCACGGCCAGCGCACGCGTGTTCGGCGCCGGGGTCGATGGGCGACAGTGCGTCCCGGGATGTCGCCGACCGGGATGTCATGGCGACAGTCCTGCTTGGGTTGACCTTCTTGCCCCTGACCGAAAGCCGCAAACACGCCTAGTAGCGGCCTCCAATAGAATAGCTTCTAGCTACTAGTAGCTTCTTGTTACTAGTAGTACGGCCAGGAGCTACTGGTAGCGTCCTTGCTCCCAGTAGCTACTGGTAGCGTCCTTGCTCCCAGTAGCGATGCCCTTGTTACTAATAGCGATGGCCTCCAACCTTTTTTTCTGACTTGTTGGTCTTTCCCACCATTTCTGCAGGGTGTGCCTCTCATGGCAATAACGAGGAGGAGCCCCACATGAAGTGAATCAACATCAGTTTTTCTTTAAGACTTTCTTTTGCCAACCTCGTCAGCAGTATCACTTGTTAATATTATGGTCAGTTGTGTTTTGCTGTTGTGACTATTATTCTCCAAGCCATGTACTGGCCTTCCCCCAAGGGTTCGCGCTAATCGCTTTCGCAGCTTCGGGGCGTGGGGGTTCGCCCCACTGCTTTGGCCTTTGGCAAATCACTTAACACGCTACTTGCTCCTAGTAGCGTCCTCTTGCTCCTAGTAGCAAGGCCAGGAGACCCTAGTAGCGCCCTTGCTCCTAGTAGCGATGCCAGGAGCCCCTAGTAGCGTTCTTGCTCCTAGTAGCGATGCCCTTTGCTCCTAGTAGCGTCGAATGCAAGGTTCACTTAGATTCTACGACTTTTTGCACAGATGTCACTCAGGGTTCGCACGTGGCTGGCAGAAAATTGTTTATAAAAAGGGGTGCTGGGCAGGGCGTCCCACAAAATCATTTTTACGTGCTGTTCCCAAACAACTTGCAGGCTATAGGAGTATGATATATAAGTGCAGACGTTTCCACCAACATAGGAATTGATGCAAAACACTCGTGGGTCTATGCTGGTATAACGACTATTAGCCAACTTCTTCGAACATCGCCAAGTTCTTCGAACATCCGCAAGACCGGTTCTGCGCCGTGTTGTTGAGCCCCCGAAAAACGGGGTTCATAACGGGTTCATAGGACCTTCATATCCGCTACGTGCCGGTGAACGACAACACCAGCGCCGTGGCTCTCTTCCAGCAGCCGCTCGGAACTAGCAGCCGTCGTCACAGCCGCTCGTTCGGGTGAAAAGCTTTTGATGAGAACTGCTTGAGAAAATGTGAGCATGAAACCATCCAAGTTCAGCACTTCGACCCAGATGGTTTGCAACGACCTTGAACCTTCAAGTGCCCAGTCCAAGTCGTTTGTTCCTCCACAACTTCCCACGAAATCGCACCAAAGGACTTCATCCGAAGTCGAAGGTTTCACGGGCCAAAGGACTTCATGTTCGGTGGACCCGGATTTGAACGGACGAGGTTGGAGGCCATTGCTATCAGTAGCGTGGCACTTGTTCCTAGTAGCGTGGCACTTGTTCCTAGTAGCTTCTTGTTACTACTAGCAAGGCACTTGTTACTACTAGTAAAAGAAGATTATTTTCATTTTCTTTTTCTTTTTCTTTTGACTTCCACAGGAGTCCCACGGCGATGTCCGTCACGGTGGTCTTCAGCTTCCTGTGCCCGGCGGAGCGCTTTGTTTTCGTCCAAGTCGTTGCGGCAGGGGTGCTGTGTCCGTCACGTGGGGCCGTGAGAATCTGTGTCCGTCAGGTTTTCTTAATGACCGTGACTTCAGATGAATGACCCTGACTTCAGAATCAGAAGGGGGGAATCATTCTTTGAGAATCATTCTTGAGAATCTGACTTTCTTAATGACCGTGGGGAAGGCTTGAGAAGACTCTCAAGAATGTTGAAGCGGGGAAGACTCCACGGTTGAAGGCTCCAGATGCCGTGGGTTTACTCAATGGAAGGCTTCAACCGGCTGGAGAGTGATCTTCAATGAGAAGAATGTGGAGTGACAGTTGGGGGGGGTAGTCCGACACTGGAAGCTGAAGTACCGACACATTCAAATGTTCAAAACCTTTCAAAAGACGGAAGATGTGGCCCAAAGGGTAGTCTCACATCTTTTCAACTGACTTCCCAGATGCACCAACGGAGCATTCGGACGCGACTAGGCTTAGGGGCTCCTGGCATCGCCAACGGACTCCCCAGCCTGGCAGGACCGCACGCCAGACGCTGCCTCTGCAGCTGTGTCGCAGATGGGGGACACCACGCTGGCGGCGGAACTGGAGAAGGTGCCGATTGGAGACGCGATTGGGACGGGAGCCGCCAACACATTGTGGTGATTGCGAGTCGGCACTGGGCGAGAAGGTCATGGTGTCTGTCCCAATTTGCAGAAAAGACTCTTGGCCGTGAACTCGTGCCCTGCGGTCTTCCGGGCCCCCCAGTAGTTCCGACCAGGTCATGACCGCTGCCGGAGTCCATGCCGCCTCGATGCACATCAGCGTGAGCTGCTTGGAGGTCGTGACGTCGAACGAACGGAGTCTACCGACGGAGGCGGCGGCGGGGGGGGAAGGTCTTTTCTGACGTTTGGCGCTCACTTCGGTGGTATCAGAAGTGGAGGGGACCCATGAAGACACGGTTCCGTGGTGGCTTCCAAAAAAGATGGATCCGCTCATTGTAGAACTGGTCCATGTTCCTTTTCTGTGCCGGAGTGGTGGTTCGGACGCAGAGCTCGCGACGGTCGGGCGCGCCGGGCTCCGCCTCCGTGCCCTGCCTGAGGCTACTTGACGAGCACCTGGTGGTATGGCACGCCCACCACCACCGTGCACACCACGGGACCAAGCAGTTCCAGCGCTCCCTTCAGCTCGACCATGATCCACAGCACCACGCCGGCGACGACCACACCCATCCCGACGACCACCACGACCACACCGAACATCACCGTGCGAGATATTCATCCGTGCAGCTTGGGTGCGAATGGAGCGTTTTCAGAATGGGCTGCTCAGCAGGCCATCTGGTGACAGGAGATTGGTGAACTGAGAGTGCCGATCTAACATAGACCCTGACAATGGTAACCTGGAAGATTGTTTCCCTCCTACCAACCAGTGGTTTTCAGGGTCTTTAGTTTTCGGGGGTGTATTTTTATTTTTTCGGCCGAAGGCCCTGAAGCACATGGTGCAGCACCTCACGTGTTTTTGTCCCGAATGGTGATATCAATCCGCTCCTTTCACTGAAAAAAGACTTCTCTCTCACATTCCAATTCGTGGGTTCCATCTGGTTTTTCTTGTTTCCGAACCGTTCTTGGACCGTCCAAGCACGGTCCCGTCCCGTCGACCTGCAGCTGTCCGTCCGACCAGTCGGACGAAGAGGAAACGAAGCGCCGAGGTGTGAGCTGGGATGATTTCATGCCTGAGAAGAAGATGAACGAGCCACGGCCCAACATTGGTTATTTTGCTCGGCCAAAGGGCTTTGGTGAGGAATGCCATGTTTAACAGTGAGTGTTTACAGCGCATCTGGCATTGCGCAGGCCATCTCTTTTCGGGACACGTGCAATCGTTGGGACATGGGCTTTGAAATGCCATGTGAATGCCAAACCGCCGCCCGTTGAACTGGCATGTGTAGCCGGGGTCCCCCAGCAACCCCATCGTTGAAGAATTCCAGTCCTTGAAAAAGGTGAAGACGTGAGCGCTTTGTGCTGCTGGCCCTTTTCATCGTCTCATCAGAGACCTTGAAAAAGGACTTCACACTTGGGTTTTTGTACGCTACTAGTAACAAGTGCATCGCTTCTAGTAACAAGTGCCTTACTAGTAGTAACAAGAAGCTAGTAGTTAATTTAATTCAATTTTACTTTAATTCTAATAGCTTCTTGTTACTAGTAGTAAGGCACTTGTTACTACTAGCGAGGCACTTGTTACTACCATTGTCTTCAACCATTATTTTCATCCTTTAGGTTTCCTGTTGTGGCCCTTGGAAACGCCCAGCAGTCGTGTGGCTGGCGAGGGAGTGCTGTACGTGAGGGATTTTGTAGTTGCTTGTTTTCGGAGTCAGAAAAAGATCAGTGCGTTGGTTGCCACTTTTCCTCCATCAACTAGGAAGTTTTGCGACATGTTGCAGTCCATTGATCTTGAGCCAAATCAGCGGCGAGTACTCAGGACTACGGCTGGTGCGATGCCAGCAATGTGAACATCTCCGAGTCCACCTGCGTAGATGCTGGCTGTGCCCAGACGGAAGAAGATCTGTTTCGCAGCGTGTCGAGGGCTGCGTTTTCTACGGCATGTGACTCATGTGACACTTATTGTGACAATCAATCTCTTCTTGCGATCATGAAGACTGATCACCATTAGAGTCATTGGAGGTTGTCACCACTTCTAGGGTATCACTTTTTGTTTGTCACTATCATACACTCAATCTCTTTCATAGAGTCTTAGAGTATCACTATCACCACCCCTCTCACCACCCCTCTCACCCTACGAGCTGCCCAGTTGGTTCGCATGGTTCACCTGCTCGGCGCTCATGGCTTGAGCCGGGTCGAAGAGAATCCTGAAGTCGAGGAGATGTCGAAGTAAAAATCCACACTGAAGAGTAAAAATACCCCAGAAAATGGCGCAGCACTGGGGATTGGAAGTGCAACATGGAGGATTTGAACACATGCCAATTCCCTCACTCCCTCACGACCCGAGGGAAGTTAAACTCACGACTGTCGTCGTGCGTCGCGTCGGTGTGTCGTTGCATCGAGGCTATGCCTATGGCTACCCGGATTATCCTTACTGCTCCTGCCCGGACGAGGCAGATGGGCGAAAGGACGAGGAAATTCCGAAAACCACTCCGTTCGGGTTAGGAGCGATCGGACGCTACGAACGGGGCGAAACTGGCCATACTACTAGGAACAAGGGACGCTACTAGGAACAATTAAGAAGCCGTTAGAAACATATCAAAACCACCGAGATCGGTCTCACATTTCATGTATCCTGCACAAAAAGGGCTACGAACGGAGCAAGGGCATCGCTACGAACGTAACAAAGGCCACCACTACGACTGCTACTACTACCACGAGCATTCTCGCTATTAGTAAACAAGGACGCGGAACCGACCGGGTCTCCTGGCCGTCAAACACGAACGGAGCGGTCAGGGCATCGCGTCCGGTTCACGACCCGAGCGGTCCGTTCGGGGGCGGTCCGGTCCTCCAGGCCACGTGCCATGCGGTGGGCTTGAGCTTCATCTACCACACCTGCGAGAGGGAGATGGGATGGTCCCCTCCGCAGATGGAGAGAGATGGGCGGTGCTGTTCATCTTCTATTTTTGTTTAATTTTTTTTGATTTATTGGTTGAACAAAACGATGCTGTTTTTCTTTTCGATGTGATGGGGTCAACGGCGGCAACGAAGCCGCAGATCCACACGTCACACCATCCTCTTCGGAAGAAGGCAGCATGAAGGACATGGATGGATACCTTTCGTGTTTTGGAAGATCAGGTTTCCACTGCGACGACTGCCCAGGTACACCACGGGAGAGTATTCAGGCCTGATCATGGCAGCTCACGCGCAGCACAGCTGCGCAGGATTGGAGACCAGCTGGCATCAGACCTGACCTTAGTTTGGGAGATGAACACCGGAGTTTTGATCTTTTCAATATTCCGAGTTCCGAGTTCGTTCTCTTTACAGCTAAGCAGAAGCACATCCTCCTTCGAAGATAATCCAACGTGCCTGTGTGTGTGTGTGTACAGCTAGAGATCCTGAAATTAGGCTTGCTGATTTGCTTTGCCTTCGAAACCTAAACAATAAGCGACACCCCGGGGCACCGAGTCGGCGGGTGATTCGACGGCCGGGGGCGCTCGCCGGAGTCATCGCCGACGAGACATGAGGAACATCGCCGACGTCATCGAGTGGCCAGCACGGATGTGCTGCAAGAGTTGGCCCAAGAAGCTCCTGAACTGAAAGAAAGAACAGACTGTGTGCGATGGCCTCCAACCGACTAGTGATGGCCTCTGACCTACCAGCGATGGCCTCCAACCCAAGAGCGATGGCCTCCAACTCCAACCTACTAGCGATGGCCTCCAACCTACTAGCGATGGCCTCTGACCTACCAGCG